GGACTGAAGATGTCTGCACTAGGGTTTAGCTGCGGGGTCTGGAAGGGACTTGCCATTGTCTGGGGCTGATTAAGGCGATGGTTAATGCATCCTCCTTGTGTAAAAGACAATAAATCGTCTTTTAATGTATCTAATTCACTTTTAAATTTACTAATGTTTTCCATTTGTACTTCTTGCCACTGTTGTTGACTTTCCTGTAGTTGCTGCTGACTTTCTTCCTGTTTCCTTTCTTGTTCCAGTTGCCACTGCTGTAGTCTCTCTTCTTGTTTATGTTCTTTCTCCTCCAACAACTGCTGTAATTTATCTTCTTGTTTATTTTGCTGTTCGAGCTGCCACTGTTGCAGGTTTTTTGTAACTGCTTTTGCCTCTCTTCTTGTTTCTTTTCTTTTCCTCCACCAACTGTTGTAATCTCTCTTCTTGTTTCTTTTCTCGTTCTTCTTGTTTCTTTTCTTTTTCCTCTAACAACTGTTGTAATTTCTCTTCTTGTTCTTCTTGTTTCTTTTGCTGTTCTTGTATTGCTGCCATTAAATCTGCTAGGCTGTAGTTTGATTTGACGCTTCTCGTTTCCATTTTTTTTTTATCCCACTTATGACACCAATTTGTTACGTCTCCATTCGTTAATTGATTTTCCGTAAATTCGTTCCGACGAAACTTTAGCGACACAAGTCCTTTGTTAAATAAAACTGGTTTATTCTTTCCGAATACAACTTTATGATACACTCAACTTCAACAGGCACTGTTTAACAAACGCTATAATTCTCAACAAACTTCTCACGTGCTTAACAATATTCTCTCTGACTGCAGTTCAATTACTCATTACCTCTGTTCCTCCGTCACGTTGTGAACGTTTTATATATACAAGACTAGTATATCTAGTAAATGCTAGGGCATTCTTGAAGGAACAGGATATTTCTAGAAACAGGTGGTGTGATACTAGTCACGTGACCTCGCTGACGCAACATTATGTTAATTATTATAAATAATGTTTCATAACTAAGCATTTTTTTTTCACCAATTACAGATTACACTTCAAGATGTTAAGGTACCAAATGTCCATGATACAGAATAAACATTTAAGTGGATGGTTTATTTTTTATCACATTAAAAAATAAGATGTAAGTTACTAAATGTTTTCAGTAATTTATATCTTAAATAGAATTATCTACTTGACTTTAAAAAATTAAAATAGACATATCCTGCTATGCTCATATTATATAGAACATATAAAGTTCTAAGATTTATTTACCTTATAATAAAACATTTCTTGTGCTTTAGTTACTCCAGCTTCATTTCCTACCATGACAATAGCTTCCATTGGAGCTAGACTTGACCCTGTCCTACACACCACTCTAGAAATAGAAATAAATAATGTAAAACTTTATTTTTTTTATAAAATATGTGAATATTTATTGAAAACGTTTACCCTCCTCCCCACTACAGAAGATTGAATGCTTTATGCATTTACCAAATTCACTCATTAAAAAAAAATACTTTATGGTGTATGATGGAAGTAATGTGCATAAAATGTTTCATTAATAATGGAACACACAAACAAATAAACCAAATAAATCAATAAAGAATCACAATTTTTGTAATTCACATTAAAAGAAAATATGAGTTATAAACAAAAAGTAAAAAGGAAATTATATTTGATAATATTTTTCTACTATTTTATTATATTGTCCTTTGTAGACATTTTTATTACATACACCTACAAAATTGTTTTAAAGACATTGGTTTATATATCATTCTCATATGCTAATTAAATTTTAATTCTGCAAATTTTCTAGTTAAATCAAATGAGACTTAAATATATATTTACTTAGAAATAAGTTTATTTTCTTGTGATAAACCATTTATAAACCAAAGCAGGGAGAAACATTTAATATTCAAATTTTTTAAAACTGCACTTTATTTGAGAAGTAAAAATATGATTTTGTAAATTAGAAACATCAGAAGAAAGCAATGGAATCAAAATACTATGTTTTTTACATGATATTGTCTAACAGTCCCTTAACTGGTGTGAAAAAACAAGTTCACTAAAGTATGAATTTTGAAGTTAACCACCATTTTCAAATTTAGATTGTATCACATAATGGGTCCAGGCTCATATTAAAGAACTTGCAAATGAGATTCAATTTTCATGATAGCATATTATTACACAAATCTTTTACTAGATGTTTATGTTATGGGATTTTGTTAAATGCCATACCTATGAAAGTTCATTACATCTAAGTCATAATTGAAGGTATTAATAGCATTGTCATAACTGGCATAATGACAGTAGGTATCATATCAATATGGAGTGTCATATATATATATATATATATATATTAAGAAAAAGGTATAACAAACATAAGTGCATTATTAATATAAATGAGGTTAGTTTACAACAACAACAAAAAATGAACAAAGATAACTATCAGACAATCTTAAGTATTTTCTATGACATTCAGTAACTACAAAATAAATGGGTTTTTATTCTACGTTACAATTTATTTAAATGATGAATACTGTTATTGAACTATTCTAATATTGTATACAGATTTATATAAACCAAATTTATATGTTACAATTGAAGGTTTTTTGAAATGTTGCAACAGTGAGGATACATAATTTGAAATATTATTTGTATATTACAGTAGAAAGTCATAAATGGGTATTTTTTCATATAATATACTATTTTTACTGTCTACTCATTATTTTCGTACCCAAGTTATAAATGTTGGAGGTAATATTTATTTCTCAAATCAAGGTCTTTTTTTTTTATTATTAAAAAACCCGCATTTCAATCATAAATGACAATGATTACTACAAAAAACCATAAACATCTTTTAAAACCTTTTTGGTTAAGAAAAATAAGTCAATGGTTTAATAAACCTATCTGTTTAATCATTGGCTCAATTATTTGTCTGTACTTCAACCTACCTAAATAGTTTATATTTTTCAACTTCCAGATTTCTTAGTGAAATTTTATCTTATAACATCCAAAGGAAACAAAAAAATGATCACCTCACAGAAATACTATATTCCTCAGGAATACAGTGTATTCCACCAATCATGATTTTATGTTTAATTTCTTCCTCACTAGACCCAAGATTGGAACCTTCAATGGCAACCAGAGTCCCCCCTTCAATTGGTCCACTCAAAGGATGAATCTTAAAAAAAAAATTATACATTCAAAACAAACAGCAAACTATCACATTTTCTTTATAAAACCTTATAGCAAAGTTGAATAATGATGAGATAGTAACATAAAGATTTATGTTATTTTACAAAGGTTTAATGCTTCTTCAAGATTGGTATAAAGGAAAATAGATTTTAAAAATTTATCAACATGGAAATATGTTTCGTAAAGGATTTTTGTCTGGGACATTTGATTGCATTTGTCTTAATTTGTTAAAAATGCAAATGTCAACCTGTGACAAAATCTTCTATAGAAAATGTGATGTGATTTCACTTGGAAAGCATATTAGAGATGATAGCTTCAATGGTTAACTTTATTGTATGATGTACAAATTGCACACATTCTGGTTGTCAGGAAGATATGATATTATGAAAGAACTTGTTGAAATATATGTTCTGTACATTTCTTGTTTGCATGTGCGTAAATATATTTATACTTACACATATTGAAAACAATTATTTAAGAAGTAGTTGTAAGCTTATATGATTACATATTCATATTTAAATTCATTCTGTAATTCTTCTCTTATAGAAAAGCATTACACACCCAATCAATGCGAGGCTGAGGGCAGGAGCTAAGAATGGGTTCTGTACATGACTCACTGTAACCGCAATTACTTCCACACCAGGCACAATGATACTTTTCGCTTCTGGTCAAACACAATGAACAGTCTGCTCGACCACCATGACTACCCAAAAGGTGACATTTATACAGGGTTACTAGAAAAAGTAAAAAAATCCATAAATTAAAAGTACATCTTTCTCTCTGATAATATTTCTATAACATTGTTTTCTCTATATCTTCATACACACACACACACACATCTATTTTAGTTCCTGCATATTATGTATTTCTCAGCAAGGAATAAGTTAAGATTATATCCACTAGACGACAGCACTGATCCATTCAAAATGGTATCTATTCAAGAAACAGAAAGATGTTATTGCACCAAAACTTGACAGTGTGATGTATATGTAATAAATTTTAAATATTTGTTTTTCTGTACTATTGTGATGTTTAGACCTGTTAGTGTTCAAATGCTACATATTGAACTATAATTGTTTAAATATGTAAATAAACAATATTAAAGGCTGTGAAACAAAAGTAGTTTTTCTGGTATACCATTTCACAATAGAGCTTAAAATGCCCCAGTGAATATCTCCATAGCAACAATTCTCTACTTTGCATATCACATCTTCCTTTAAATTTCAATACAATACAGAACCTTATTGATTCTAGTATTTAACATAATATATAAAACTTTGTTTTTTGTAACTTTTTTACTTAATAAAATGAGCAGAATGGAAAACAAGATAAAGGCCTTACTATTAGTCCTGTCGATAAAAGTATCTTCATTCCACACAACTGTCAAGACAGCTTGCACTTCTCCAACATCTGTTTGATAGGTGTACTAGAAGATAAAACTAAACCTTAGACCACTTGTGTCAATTATCAATACAATACTCAAAACAGATCACATAATATAACTTGTAGCTCTTTGTCCTTGTTGGAGTCTATTGTATTAACTTGAAATTGATACAACCTCTCTTATACATTTTACAGATCAACGGTTTATACCATTTGATATGTATATATACACACACAAGTTATCTTAAGTACTGTTACTGCTCTGAAAATAAAAATACTCATTTTATCCAATTGCATTTGACAATATTTATTAAAGTATTTTTAACTTTGTTATTTGATCCACGTCGAATAAAGATATCCTGCCTAAATTATATTTTTTTAAATTTCTTAACTTATTTGCTTTTATTTTCACTTTCTTTTTTGTTTGAATTTGTTAAAAGTTTTTACTGTATCTAAAGGCCCAGCATGGCCAGGTGGTTAGGGTGCTCGACTCGCAATCTGAGAGCCATGGGTTTGAATCCAAACATGCTCGCTCTTTCAGCCGCGGTGTGTGTGTGTGTGTGTGTGTGTGTGTGTTATAATGTGACGGTCAATCCCACTATTCGTTGGTAAAAGAGTAGCTCAAGAGTCGGCGGTAGGTGGTGATGACTAGCTGCCTTCCCTCTAGTCTTACACTGCTAAATTAGGGATGGCTAGCGCAGATAGCCCTCACGTAGCTTTGCACAAAATTCAAAACAAACATCTTTTATCTAAGCTGTGTTTCAATTTTTATTGGCTTAATTTTTATTAGCTTTAAGTTTTAAAGGTGTAAAGCCTGTATAATTATTTTAATGTAGCAATGAATGAAGTTAGTAAAACACTCATTCTTAACTTGAAAAACTTTGAAAAAGTATTATTTAATTTTATTAGATTTTCAGATACTATTACTTAAAAGTAATTATTTCATAAAGATATTTTTATTTTGATACCTGGATTTTTTTTAAAAACAGCTGCAAATGAATGATATAAGAATACAAATGCTCAGATCTAATCAATAAACAGGATTGTACAGGTAAAAGTATAACTTCTATACTGTTATTTACTGTAGCTCAACTAATTCATACTAAACATTTCTGACTTATCAATCAAAATACTCTTACGATGTCTTGGTTTGGCTATTATATGAACTAGTTTATGTAATTCCTCCATTATTTAAAACTTGACTCTCTGAATTTACAAAAGTTCACATTAGACTTCATTAACTTACAATGTTTTCAGAACAGATGACTCTACTGTCTCTTACTCTAGCAAAAACTCTTTCTTTAGCCCCTTCAATTTCTATAATGCACTGAAAACCATCCTATGTAAGAAGAAAGAAAGGCCATAACTATCACATAGGTCAGCTTCAATAAACAGTGGCAATTTTGTTAAGTCCCTCTTAACTAGAACACATTATTTTACATATAAAATTTATTAACCAGTTGTCAAAAATAACTTCATAACTAAAAGGTCAAATAAGTGCCATATTATTTGTAAGTGTACAGGACAAAATGAACAAGATATAACTTTTATGACAAACACTTGATATTTGGAATTAACAGTATGAGAAATACTTGAGATGAAATACTGTAGAAACAGTATAATAAATTGTCAACATAACTAAAAATATTTGAGAAAAAGTAAAAAAAAGTTAACTTAAATGAGAGTTAACCAATATATTTTTCCTTACATATCATTCATGCAAGAAAAAAAATCTTCTATGACTTCCAAGTAAATTCATTTTTCTTAATTTTTATACTTTACACTGTAAATAAAAGAGTGTTAGGGTTTTGAATATGGGTTGGGATTCTTTTACAGTAGGTGTCTGTGATTTGTTGATGATATATTCAAACAATAAATGGACAGCACACAATCCACTTGTTTTAAAATAATATATTCAAAACAAGTCTAACGTATTTGCAAAAATTCTTTACATTACAGGATATCACAGGGTGATTCAATTACTTTAGAATTCAATTGACAAGACAAATTATTTTTCTCTATTCTGTTTCTTACTATACAATCTGCAATAAATACACTTAAGTTACCCTGTGGGTTACCACAGTTGTATCCAGACCTTTAAATAATTATCTCCTTTCTTTGTCAAAAGTCCACACAGGCTGTTCATTTACTTTAGAACTCAATTGACAAGAAAAAATATTTTCCTTATCTCTGTTGTTACAATATGGCTGTGAAACACACTATAGAAATCACTCCTTTAAAACTAATTACTCACATGGCAGCTAACTTCATGTTTTCTTTCACTAACTAATTTTTTTGACTGAACTTTACTTGACTTACACTCACTTGGTCACCTATATATGCAAGTTGTCCAACTGAGGTCTAGAACTTTCTGTAAACTAGGAGATGCTATGATGTAGCAAGAAAAACTTGGAGGTCTCAAGAAAGATGACATCAACAATTGAACTACACACTCAATGTACTGCTCTTACCGAGTTATGTAATGAAACCCATCACAACTATTGCCTATAAAATAATTAACTTTAACACTCTAGATATAAAAACTAAATAATTATTAAATATTGGATCACTAAATGAACTAAATATTAACCCTTATACTAAACAGTCTTGTATATCCAACAAAGAGTAATTGTTCACCATTTCAGATAAGAAAGAAAAATCAAATGAACATAAAGAAGGCTTGTTAAAAAATTAAGCAGACCAAAACTAATAAATAGGTATATGTATCTAAAGATTACTACAATAAACACAGGATTACAGATAAATAGCAAGATGAAATTTATACTTCTGTACTTTATTTTAAATCTACAAGACCGTGTTTATTGCATTGTTTTTTTGTTTTTTTTTTAGTATTTATGTTTTGGTCTAGTTTCAGTATACTTCGAGAAACTTAGTTTATACTTTAATAAAAACTGCAAAGGTTTTAAAGGGATTAGTTTGGTTATTATTTTAGATTTAAAAAAGTAAAATAAAAATAAATGTTTAGATCATTAGTCTGCCTATAAAGAACTATAGTTACATTTGGAGTGAAAACAATTTGCGTTTTATACATTAAAACATCACAATTGTTTTCAGAATTCTGACAAATAATCAAATCATTAGGAAATTTGGCTAACAGAATATAAAGTATAATCTAACGGTAGCTAAACACCATTTTACAGGTTAGAGATAGCAAACTCTTGTGTTCTTCAGATTAGATATACTTACAAGTGGAATGAGTAAATTTTTGACTTCTATAACTATTTCCTTTCTCACTCCATTAGGAAGGAAAATCTTCTCATTTAAATTAAAGCTAGGACAATGTTGCCGTCCTTTAATAAGAGAATTGGCAGGGTTCTAAAGAAAAGAAAAAAAAAGATAACTATATCCCCATAAACCCATTCATAAAAAATGAAATTCTAGTCCATTTATAGATATGTTAGAAAACACTTGGCATATTTGTTTACAATCACTGTTTTATCAGGACAAACCCAGGGTTGACTTGTCTTTCTTCCTTAAACTATGGCATTCCTACCAACATTTATACTATAGATTCTTATCCTCTTCCTAACAAGGCAAACTTTCCATTAAAATAAAATAATGGAAATTCAGGCATTAGAAGTTTACTTACAGCAGAAAAGGCATGAACATGTATATGAACTAGGTAAAGTGTTTAACAATTGTTTTTACTGAGTGAAAAACTTGGTTAAACCTTAAAACAGAAAATTAAAATGGAAAACAATAAAAAACAAACAAAACTGTTTCTAACCGGAAATTATTTATAATAGTCTCTAAGTTGCTGCAATATGAAACTTTGGTGAAAGATAAAAAGACTAGGATTCAAATAACAAGAAAAAGCTGTATGAGTATTCAAAATGTTATAATTATATAGCATTCTACGGAGAAATAATAGATAATGTAGAAAACATCACATAAAATCCATAATGTTTTGTACATAAAAGATACTTCCTGATGTAGTGTCTAGGCCTGAATCATTATGCAAAATTAAAATGGTTTTTGTGTGAATTTTATCAACCATGTCTATTGTTTAGTGTGTAATTGATGAAAGCCTATGAAATATTGGAAAATCAATAGACTTAAGGATTTTTATCAAAACAGGTTAACTGCAACTTTTTTATCCAGATTCCTCTTAATTTGTCTATTGCAGCTCAAAATCAGGGGTGTAATAAATAGCATTTCAGATTTAAAAAACAAAACATCTGCAGCTAACCTGTGTGTTATTTTTCCACAGAATACTATTCTAACAGTATGTAAAATACCATAATATGTAAGATACAAATTGACATTTTATAGACTTTGCATTGTTAAAGCAAATGTACAGATATATAAAATAATTTTGTTTTTTAATGAACAACACCATAATGTCACATATATCAAAACATTTGTCAAAATATTTTAATGATGAACTAATAAAGGAAAAATATTGAAATTAACTAAGATCATAGTTGTGCCTGATGGACTCATCACATTCGTCAGCATTTCTATAAAATGTAATCACTCAGTAATAAAGTCAGTTTTTCTAGTTGTCAAAGGTACCAAAATATTGGATATTACATTTATGATTATACTATAAATATAGAAAAATTAATGATGTAAAGTATCATGGAATCATGAAGACTGCATTTTTTGCAAAGTAATCCAATCACATCAGAATATTCATACTATAGACATAACTCCCCAATAAATTTCCAAAATAAATATTAAAACATGAATGTTTTATCTTGTTTTTTTTTCAAACACTGCTGCTTTTACAATAGAAAATAATTATGGAGCTTGCCTGATGCTACATAACAAATAATTTTAATAGAAATATAATTTACTTCACTACAGAGGTTGAGTACATTATACTAAAATGATTTGAGCCTCACCACATCATTACAGTCTATTTCACCACCTCTAGTCATGCTCTATCTGAGGACCATCATTTTGACAAATAACCCTGAATCCTAGTTTCCACAGAACAATACTTCATTGTAAGGTTGTCAAGTCCAAAGCACACCACTCCTCCCTGCTTGTATTCCATAACCAATCACGTATACAAGGATGACAGTTTCTTATGACCCATTCCAATAGTCTTATTGCTCAGGAATTCATAGAAGTTGTGTCCGTCGATTTGACCAATATATCTTTGTATGAAATAGCATGAATACCTCTTTCATACTCCAGCTGCAAAGGACGAAACAGTTGAAAGGTTATGTTGTGAAAGCAGCTGAGGTATATACGACTTATTTTGCTTTTCCAGGCCGAGATACTTTTGACATTATGTTGGGTAATGTTGCTTGGGGACACGTGGACATCATTTGCCATTAACGTTTGTGTTCGTGGATTCCCTCCAATTACACGACGCCGTACCATACTTTACTTTACCATACTTATTGCAGGTCTCTCTCTCGATGATCCTGGTACTCTAAGTTGATCCACATTCCTTTGTTTTCCAATGTCACTAAGTACAAAGGGTATCTTCGTCTTGGAAATTGTAAATCCCCGATCTGAATAAATCGGAAAGGACTATTATATACCCTTCGCAAAAGCGATCAACTTTTTTTTTGTGTGGCAATACACTTCCTACGAAAGGTCATACAATGTCAAAATGTGCTTCTGATATATATACGACGTTCTACCGTGACTTTATATTGGATGTGGATGTCAGTAACTTGCTGATTTGTGTATTAAAAATCGTTTTACTACAACATACTCAACCTTCTGCTTTCTTTATTATTATTATTATTTTGCAAGAAACACCACTGGATTATTTTGCAGCAAAAATGTGATTCAGATAAACTGCTGTAGCAATTTATCGCCATCCTGTGCTTAAGTTACCTAGCAGCAGAAAAGGTATGAAATTAGTTGCTCTATTACGTATGCATTACAGAATTATAAAAATAATGACGAGCCACACGTTTGGAGGGCCCGCAAATGCAGAAAGACGAACTTGTAGGTAACGTTAGATTAAAATACAAATATCACATTTTTTAACTTGTAGGAGAAAGTACTGCTATTAGAACATAGCACAACCACTCATTATAACTTTGATGTCTGTCATTTACGATATAGATGGTTCTATAAAAAATATTGTTTATATTTTCAATTGTGTTTTTCACATATTTCTGTGGTAACTGGTGTCATATATGTAGCAGTATTTTTCATGGTCAGAAGGGGTAAGGAAGAGGTCATATTTCCTCTTCTGTGAATTTATTGCCAGTTATCTAAAATGTGAAAGAGCTTTATTTATTTGAATAAAGTAAAGATTGTGCTTGTAATTAGTAACTAAGATTCGGAACTATTATAAAATGAGCATTAAAAACCTTATGTTACAGACTGTTAATTCCTGTATAACACGAAATTTGGTCACTAGTTTATACAGTATTCTAAATAAATTTGTATGATGTTTGTTGGAATGGGGAGGGAAATTATTGAATATATAAATCACATGTAAAAAATAATAGTTTTTTGGTTTTCTTAAACACTTGAACTTTGATTTATATTTTTCGAATAACATAAATTGGAAAACTTAAGTCTTGAAATATCAGTTGATATATGCGATTCTTTGATAATGACTATGACTAAGTGGAAAATAAGCTAAGTTATAAATTAACATAGTGTAGCAGTCAAATCTCGGAACTTAAATCTATATAAGTTTCTCTAATGCACAGGTTGTTTTATCATCATATTGTTAAATTATTTTGGAAAGAATAACAAAACTTACACTTTCACCAACAATAACTCTTCTTGAGCAAATCGATACATTATACGTACACATGTTCTGATGTACACACCAGCTACAAGCCCACGAACTCGTTACACAAGCTTTACACCTAATAACAAATCAAATATTTTTTACAGATATAAATATAACAAGTACAAGTGAGGGAAATATTTAAGTGCTGAGAGAGACATGTTTATGACTTCTGTGAAAGACGTATAGTATTGGGAACGCACAGGTGATACACATAGAAACAATGAGTAACTCCAACTAAATGGTCAATTTATTATTAGTACAATGCATTATTACACAAAATACAAAAGATTGGTTGGATGACGGTGAATTACAGTGTAATCTATTAACGCGTGATAGTAATTTGGAGCAGTTTGTTTTCATAAAATGGAGGTGAAGCAATCCTATAATAATTGTATTTTGTACCCACTTTCTTCACTATTTTCATAAGTACTTTCAGTAATGTATATATGAATCAAAAACTTGAGAAACTAACTCAGAGTAATTATTGGATGTCTGCCTTGTTTGTTTACAAAAATTATCATGGTTATTGTTACTACTCAATTACAAAAAACAAAAACAAAAAAACAGAATATCTCACGAAAACTTCAGTAATCTTAGTTTAGGAAACGAGATTTTCTTTTCCACGCGCATGGCGAATTATGTTAATAGGCCAAAATCCATCCACTGTTAACAGAATTTTGCGCTTTGTGTATCCAGGATACGTGGTATGCAACATAATTACAAAATGGCAACTGCGGGTGATGTCGGTTTTGAATAAAACGCTCTAACGAAGTTCTTACCGAATAAGTTACAGAATGAGTGTTGTACCCCTTGAGTACATTCCACCCAATAACATTAAATGATAAGTGTATAACGGAATCATAATGGAAGATATTTCCTTGGACATTACCTATTACCAATAGGCTCAAAACATTTTTAAATTACTACAGATGAGAAAGTCAAGATGATTTTTCTCATCCCGCCCTTTAGTCCCAGACTTGGCATATTGTGACTTCCCATCTTTTTACACTCTATAAACGGTCTATGTGGACAAGATTTCCAGGCAAAAGAAGAAATTATTTTCTTGAAGAAACTGTACAAAACTGGATTCGTAAATTATGAACGCAACTTAATGAACTAATATGGTGAAATTTTCGGAATAATGGATGAAATGTGGTGAGAAGTGGAGTTCTGTGTAGATTTCTTGCTTGTAAACTGGTTTGCTTAGAGAAATAAAATATTTTATTGGTATATATATATATTTGTTAACTGCGAAGTTCTTAAAAACTAAGGCATCATTTCACATTTGAATCCGTTCTATTTCTTCAGAAAGCGCAAACTATAGGCCCGAACAAGGGATTCCTGTGTGTAATCTGTAGTACAATTTTTTTTTAAATCTGGATTCTCTCCAACAGAAGAGTACGCACATGTATAAAACAGAGCCAAAAAAAACCCTCCAATGACATTGTGAAATTTTCTTTTTTCTGGAAGAAACGATCAAAATATAAACGAAAATTTTAAACTTTTTTCCTATCAAATTCTAAAAAAAATCTCAACATTTCAAAATTATTACAGGTTTACTATAGATCATAGATTTAAAAATAATTTAAACTACCACTTCAACAAATATCATTTCTCCAAGCTTTCAAAGTTTAAGATTTAAGACTTGTCATTACAATTTCTGTTACACATTTTTGAATCACAAAGTTGGTATTCATTCTTCAAAACTTCGTATAACTTTGGTTTAAACTTATGCATCCCAGGTCTCTTCAAACTTGATTTTATAAAATTATTCAAAGAAAATGTATACATATAATATAGATGTTAAATACTATCAATTTGCATCCAGGTTTCACAAATTATTTGAACTGACAAAACCTTTTATACGTACGTCTTATGTACTCCACAGTCGTAAAAGGCAAATGGTCGGCTGATAAAATCAGTGTCAGTTTCACTTGATCGAACTGCAAGATTTACTATCACGTGATCTACAAGACAGCACATAATAAAACATATTACGTGATGTATAAAACAGATGTAATGAATATACAGACATACAATGATCTACAACACGCATTTAATGAAATTTCTCCCACTATCTACAAGACAGCAGATTTGCTAAAAACGTTTCGTGTAATTCACAAGATAGCAGATTGATTAACATTTCAAGTAATAATGCAACAACATAGTTGTAAATATCACAATGCAGCATATTTGATATAATCTATCATGTGGTCTTTAAGATGGCAGATTTAATTCAAGTTTACGTGCGATATAGAGTGCGGCAGAGTTGCTGTCATTTTTTCCCTAATCCTGATGATATCTCTCACGTGATCAACGCCCCTCTTCTGACGGCTCAGCGGTAAGCTTGAGGGCTTATAACCCTAAACATGGGGTTCAAACCAAGGAAACTCGATAGCTCATCTGTGTGCTTAGTTTTAGCAGACCAAGACCGATAGAGTTTTAGCCTTCGCCTGCTTTGTACAGTATGCAGTTTTGGAGGTTGAGAACAAAAACACGTGATTAACAATATAACAGAATGTAGAAAATATATTACTTCATTAACAAGTTTAATAACATCAATTTATAACTTACAATAGTCGTTATACATCACTTGGATAGGTATGCCATGGCTTTTAAAATTAACAAATAACACAGACAACGTTTGACTTCACACAATTAAAACATCCTCACTCAAGCCACTAATATTTATCAGGTTTCACGTTCTCTTTAGGCTAATACAGAAAACTATTCCGCAGTCATTCGTGAAAATACATCGTTTTTTATTACATCGAAAGAAAGCGTAGGTAGAATCACGAGAGAAATGCCTTGGGTGCTCTGTTATCAAAGTACACTCCGATCAGCCACTCACCACTTTTCATCAATTATAATTACAAACCTTTATAGAGCGTATGCTGAGTTATTTTCCCGTGTTTATGTTCAAAGCTTCAAAACTAATAATTCCTGTTTAGACTAGAAAACTACAGCATTTAAACATTCTTTAGACCCGAGCCCGAGATAAAATAAGCTGAAGATTTTCCGATACGCGTTTTAGAATTCTGAAGTCAGTTTTTGCCGAGAATCAAGTATTATCATTGTCCGAGTCTATTTAAATATCTGAAATCCACAAAATTGTGTTCCTATCAGACCATTTATCATCCTCATGGTCCAATTAGCCTTTACTGGTCAAATAAAAAAACGGATAATCTCTCGCTACTCAGTACTCGAATTATAGAAATTGATATGAAAAAAACAAAAACAAAAACTATCGCGTCTTCACTACAATGTCAGTGTTTACGTTTGTTCTACAAAATTAGCTCCGTGTACACGTTCTTTTCAGGCTACTGAATGTTTAGTATGTTACTAAACAAATACATGAAGATACAAGGCTATATACAGTTTAAATAATAAGCTGAAAACAAGATGGAACTCGAACTCAAACCAGTGCGTTTTGTGATACCTCTGTACAGTAACATATACACAATCAATGGTGGTCACGCCATTAATCATAACGTGAAAAAACTATACTGGTTTCTTGAAAGCTTTTTACATGCAATAAATACGACTAAAATATTGTTGCGTATCTGCTTGTATGTTAATTTCCCGTAAAAATTATTTCCGAAGAACTTCAGCGATACGAGTCATTTTTTAAATAAAACTAGTTTATTCTTTCTCAATACAACTTTGGAATACACTGAATTTCCACAGTCACTTTAACTTAACCACACGCTATAATTCATAACGATTCACGCAGTTTACTTACGGTCACTACCGCTCACTTGACTCAATTATCTGTCTCTATAT